CACAAGGTCAGGAGTTCGAGACCAGCCTGGTCAACATGGCGAAACCCCATCTCTACTAAAAATACAAAAATTAGCTAGGCGTGGTGGTGCGTGCCTGTAATCCCAGCTACTCAGGAGGCTGAGGCAGGAGAATCACTTGAACCAGGGAGGCAGAGGTTGCAGTGAGCTGAGATCGCAACACTGCATTCCAGCCTAGCGACAGAGTGAGACTCCATCTAAAAAAAAAAAAAAGAAAAAGAAATCATCAAAAAGTTCGACGGTGACAGTAGCATATTAAAGGGAGCACAGTCCCTCTGAGTATTGGACGCTGTGGCGGCACAGCTCACATGCCCAGGAAGCCCCTCTGCTTCTTTCTAAACTGTTTGCCGTGCTGGAAAGGACCTTTCCTATGTTGTCTACCTGGCAAACTTTTAGTTACACTTCTGGACCAGCATAGGGAGCTCTTACCTGTTTGAGGTAGTCACTAACCCTCACAGAATGTGTTGGGGCTGGGCACAGCGACTCATGCCCATAGTCCCAACACTTCAGGAGGTCGAGGCAGGCAGATCGCTTGAGGCCAGGAGTTCAAGACCAACCTGGGCAAAACCCCGTTTCTACAAAACAATACACAGAAAATTAGCTGGGGATGGTGGCACATGCCTGTAGTCCCAGCTACTTGGGAGGGTGAAGTTGAAGGATCGCTTGAGCCCAAGAGGTTCAGAGCCAGTATAGCACCACTGTACACCAGCCTGGCAACAGAGTGAGGCAGTGTCTCAAAAAGAGAGAGAGGGAGGGTGGATCACAAGGTCGAGAGATCGAGACCATCCTGGTCAACATGGTGAAACCCCGTCTCTACTAAAAATACAAAAAATTAGCTGGGCATGGTGGCGCGTGCCTGTAATCCCAGCTACTCAGGAGGCTGAGGCAGGAGAATTGCCTGAACCCAGGAGGTGGAGGTTGCGGTGAGCCGAGATTGTGCCATTGCACTCCAGCCTGGGTAACAAGAGCAAAACTCCATCTCAAAAAAAAAAAAAAAGAGAGAGAGAGAGAGAAAAAGAGTATATTGGAAAGTAAGGGCCGTCCATATGCATACAACATAAGGTTTGGAATACAACTGAAGAGACCTCATATGCTCTCTGATGCCCATAACCTGAACCTATGGAGGCTCATGAACCCAGATTAAAACTCTCACTTGAGATTCGGTTCAAATGTCACCTTCTCTGCTAAGCTTCTCTGGCCCGCGCTGGGCAGGAGAAAGCACTCCTTCCCCTGGCGGGCCTCATCCACCCCTTTGTTGTCATAATAATCATCATAAATTATGGATAACAGTTACTGTTTCTAGAGGGGCCTCCATCTGTTAGACACATTTCGGAACTCACTGTGACTTGGCCCATTAGGTATCTTATCACCGTCTTCACAGATGAGGGCCTGAAGTTCAGAATTTAAGGACCTGAGCTTAAGAAAAGGTACAGGGTCCCTGAAGACTGTAGAGTGCGCCTTGTGGCTGTGGCACCCCACCCTCAAGTCACCTGTCCTGCTAGAGGGACTGATCTCATACCCTGAGCCCTTGGAAAGTGCAAAGATCGTGCTGTGTTTATTTCTGCACTCCCAGAGCCTTTCCAGATGGTTGCTACTAAATGAATGATTGGGGATCAATAAATACTTGACTTTACCCACAGGTCTTTTTTTTTTTTTGAAACAGGGTCTCGTTCGGTGGCCCAGGCTGGAGTGGGGTGGTGCAGTCTTGGCTCACTGCAAGTTCCACCTCCCAGGTTCAAGTGATTCTCTTGCCTCAGCCTCCTGGGTAGCTGGGATTACAGGTGTGTGCCACCACGCCCAGATTTTTGTATTTGTATTTATTTATTTTATTTTTTAAATTAATTTTCTTTCTTTTTTGGTGAAATGGAGTCTTGCTCTGTTGCTCAGGCTGGAGTGCAGTGGTGTGATCTTGGCTCACTCCATCCTCTGCCTCCTGGGTTCAAGCAAATTCTCCTGCCTCAGCCTCCTGAGTAGCTGAGATTACAGGCATGGGCCACCACACCTGGCTAATTTTTGTATTTTTAGTAGAGACAGGATTTCACCATGTTGGCCAGGCTGGTCTCAAACTCCTGACCTCAAGTGACCCGCCCACCTTGGCCTCCCAAAGTGCTGAGGTTACAGGCGTGAGCCCCCGCGCCCGGCCACACAGCTCTTTTTACAGTCCTAGATCAGTCCGTGCCGGGCATCCACCAACAACGATTAGAGAAAACCAGAATGTGCCTTCCGCAAAAGATGCCACGTCCTTATATCTGGGCTCTGGGATTATCTTAGACTTGAACCAGTACCGAGTGACTGCCCCCAGATAGCTTTGAGTCAAACTGCATTAACCAAACCCTGAGGTGACCGGGCCCGCGTATTTCTCTTCTCTAGGGCATCTTCCTCCTGACCATGGGTCTGCCAGCTCTTCCATTTGTTCCTTGGGCATTTCTGAGCAGATGTTGGTGGTTTTCATTTTTGGGGAGAATGGGGTCTTATTACACTGCTCAGGAAGGTCCTCCCGTCTCTGCTTCCCTAAGTGTTGGGAATACAGGAGTGAGCCAATGCGTCTGGCTTCTAACATATTTTTAAAAATAAGTAAACAGCCGGGCGCGGTGGCTCAAGCCTGTAATCCCAGCACTTTGGGAGGCCGAGGCGGGTGGATCACGAGGTCAAGAGATCGAGACCATCCTGGTCAACATGGTGAAACCCCGTCTCTACTAAAAATACAAAAAACTAGCTGGGCGTGGTGGCGCGTGCCTGTAATCCCAGCTACTCAGGAGGCTGAGGCAGGAGAATTGCCTGAACCCAGGAGGCGGAGGTTGCGGTGAGCCGAGATCGCGCCACTGCACTCCAGCCTGGGTAACAAGAGCGAAAACTCCGTCTCAAAAAAAAAAAAAAAAAAAAAAAAAAAAAAAAATAAGTAAACAAATTCTAATCACTTTGGGGGATTATTTACCCTATAAACATTACTGTGATTTGGGGTTTAGGTTCCTAAATGTTTTGATATTCAGGTTTAACTGACTTAATATTTGGATTCTTGCTGATTTCTTTCTGTTTTTTATCTGAATACGTAATTACCAGGGCATCCAATCTTTTGGCTTCCCCAGGCCACACTGGAAGAAGAAGGCTGTCTTGGGCCACACATAAAATACACAAACACTAACGATGGCTTATGAGCTACAAAAGAAAAACAATCACAAAAAAAATCTCACAAGGTTTTAAGAAAGTTTATGAATGTGTGTTGGGCAGAATTCAGAGCGTGCCTGCAGCCTGCAAGCTGTAGGTTAGACAGCTTGGCCTGCAAGTATAAAATTGTCCTATGGAATTAGAAATGATTGTTTTTCGGCCTTGGGAATATTCATTGAGGTGCTGATTACGATATCTGATCTATATTTGATGGAGCTGACTCTGATGTATCCATCCATGGCGCTGAGATTCAGGAAGAGAATGGACATAAAACACTCAAATGTTTGTGAAACCAATGATTTCATCCTTCTCCTTCCCAGACTTGAAAACCCACCCCTCCTGTTGAGTTTCCGTAGCTGCCACAGCTGAACAAGGTTCCCCTGGGAGCCACTGGGACACTCAGGCAGCAGCTGGGGTTCCAGGCCCGAGTCCGGCTTCAGGGACCCTGTGTTTCAGGTCGGCTGGTCTTCAGCCGCTGCAGGGAGCTGCTCTGGCTGTTTCAGCGTTTTCCAGGACAGGCTTGCAGAGGTGGGGAGGACTGAGTCGTGTGGGTAGAAGTGTCGGCGCTTAATGCGAGATCCTGTTTTTTCCTCTTTCGGAAGCTGCACCCACTGTAGTCAGCAACGACCAGCTCAAAACCAAGACCAATCGATTCTTTTATTTTTTGAGACAGATTCTCACTCTGTCAGCCAGGTTGGAATATAGTGACACAGTCTTGGCTCACTGCAACCTCCACCTCCTGGGATCAAGTCATTCTCCTGCCTCAGACTCACAGGCGCCTGCCACTACGCCCAACTAATTTTTGTATTTTTAGTAGAGATGGGGTTTCACCATGTTGGCCAGGCTGGTCTCGAACTCCTGACCAGCCTGCCTCAGCCTCCCAGAGTGCTGAGATTCGTGAGCCACTGTGTGTTCAGCCTCAACTGATTCTTTAAGTCGCTGCTAAAAAAAAAAATAGATTGAGGCCGGGTGCAGTGGCTCACGCCTGTGATCCCAGCACTTTGGGAGGCCAAGGCGGGAGGATCACAAGGTCAAGAGATAGAGACCATCCAGGCCAACATGGTGAGTCCCCATCTCTACTAAAAATACAAAAATTAGCTGGGCGTGGTGGCGTGCGCCTGTAGTCCCAGCTACTCGGGAGGCTGAGGCAGGAAAACTGCTTGAACCCAGGAGGCGGAGGTTGCAGTGAGCCGAGATCGTGCCACTGCCCTCCAGCCTGGTGCCTGGCGCCTGGCAACAGACTGAGACTCTGTCTAAAAAAAAAAAAAAAAAAAGAAAAGAAAAGAAAAAAATAGATTGTAGGTGGGTGACTTTTGGGAACTTTTTGTTATTGCTGTTAACATTAAAAGACTTTTCTTGGGTTTTATGTAGTGTCACAAATGACACAACAGTGGTAATAAAAATCTCCGGTTTATTTGGGAGTTTACCATGTTCCAAGTACAGTGCTAGGGCTTTTAACACACATTTTCTGATTCTCATAGAAACCCTATGAGATGGGTTTTAGACTTTCCTATCCATATTTTATGAAGCAGAAAACCAAAGCACAAGGTTAAGTCATTTATTCAAAGTCATGGGATTAGCAAGAGGCACAGGTGGGACTGGAACTCACGCGATTTGGTCTCAAAGCTCGTCTTTCCCACTCTGGTGACCTATCGTCTCTTAGTTGTAGCAAAGCCACCTCCCTCAATACGGATGTGCCCACCTCCCGCCTTCCTCCTCCCCATGATGTCCATTCTACAGACCAAGGCCACATTACAACTTCCTGAAGTATTACTTTAATCCTTCCATTGCCTACTGGAAACATTCCTGTTCCCTAGAGGAGCAAGATCATGTTTGTAAGGTGTGACCGCGCCGTGGACGGCATGGCGACTCCCGTGAATCACAGGTACACCTCTGGAGGGCCTTCCGGAATGAGAAAACCTGAAATGGCTGTAAGATCCTAGAAAGAGGAAGAAATGATGCTCGCTTCGGCAGCACGTATACTAAAATTGGAACGACACGGAGAAGGTTAGCATGGCCTCTGCACAAGGATGACACACAAATTCGTGAAGCGTTCCATATTTTAAAAAATAAGAAAAAGAAGAAGAAAGAGGAAGAAATGATGAACCCCAGCAGAGCCTGCTTAACTCTGAGACACTCTCTACTGTTTCTTATTCCCGCCTCATGACAAGGCCACTGGACTTTGTAACTGACCTGGGCCAGCCTTGATGCCACACCCTACGACCCCCTCCCAGCTTGCAAACCCACTTGCCAGCTTGCAAAAAACCTCCCTAAATTTAACTTTTGTAACTTTCCACTGCCCACCCCCAAACCTATAAAACCAACTCCTATCCCACCACTCATTTTGGCCTCAGCCCACCTGCACCCAGGTGAACAAACAGCCGTATTGCTCACACAAAGCCTGTTTGCGGGGGCGGGGGTCTCTTCATTCAGAGCGCCAGGTTTTTTGTTTTTTTTTTTTTCCCTTGAGACGGGGTTTTACCATGTTGGCCAGGATGGTCTTGATCTCTTGACCTCGTGATTTGCCTGCCTCAGCCTCCCAAAGTGCTGGGATTACAGGTGTGAGCCACCGCGCCCGGCCTGAGAGCACGCGTTTTAACAATGTTCTCATTCCTTCTGATAATCAGTTGTCTTCATCTTGCAGAATATCCCTTCCATAACTTCTCCAGCTTGCAGTGGTCCCTGCTAATCGGGACTGTAGTCCCCACTAATCAGGAGGCTGAGGAGGGAGGATGACTTGAGGTCAGGAGTTTGAGGTTGCAGCGAGCTAGGAATGTGTCAGTGCAGTCCAGCCTGGGCGACAGAGCAAGGATCCCAACTCAAAAAGCAAACAAAAGAAATCCAGAGCTGCTGGGCATGGTGGTGTGCACCTGTAATCCCAGCTACTCGACAGGATGAGGCAGGAGAATCATTTGAACCCAAGAGGCAGAGGTTGCAATGAGCCGGGATCGCACCACTGAACTCCAGACTGGGTGACAGAGCAAGACTCTGTCTCAAGAACAAAACAAAAATAAAAAAACTAGAGCTAAAATTAGGAGGGGGAGGATGTAAACTTTGAATGAACATATATAAAACTATGAATCTTTTCTACTGTCATTAAAATAAGACACTAAAGGAAGCATTTTATTTTTATTTTTTATTTATTTATCTATTTTTTTTAGACGGAGTTTCGCTCTTGTTACCCAGGCTGGAGTGCAATGGTGCGATCTCGGCTCACCGCAACCTCCGCCTCCTGGGTTCAGGCAATTCTCCTGCTGCAGCCTCCTGAGTAGCTGGGATTACAGGCACGCGCCACCATGCCCAGCTAATTTTTTGTATTTTTTAGTAGAGATGGGGTTTCACCATGTTGACCAGGATGGTCTCGATCTCTTGACCTCGTGATCCACCCGCCTTGGCCTCCCAAAGTGCTGGGATTACAGGCTTGAGCCACCGTGCCCGGCTATTTTTAATTTTTTTGAGATAGAATCTCGCTCTGTTGCTCAGGCTGGAGTGCAGTGGGTGTGGTTTTGGCTCACTGCAACCTCCACCTCCCGAATTCAAGTGATTCTCCTGCCTCAACCTCCTGAGTAGCTGTGGTAGTCAGGATTACATGCACACGCCACCATGCTCAGCTAATTTGTATTTTTAGTAGAGATGGGGTTTCACCATGTTAGCCAGGCTGGTCTCAAACTCCTGACCTCAGGTGATCCACCCTTCTAGGCTTCCCAAAGTGCTGGGATTACAGGGGTGAGCCACCACCCATGGCCTAAAGGAAACATTTTTAAATAAACAGTATATAAGTGACGTTTTCTACTTCTTAAATTACTAACGGTGGCTAATGCACAATTAACTTATCTTTACCACCTGCTGCTTGCTAACAACGTTAGTGTGTCTTTCCAAGGAAATTTTAATGAGGGGCTTGGAATAAAAAAGAAATTTTTTTTTTCCAGGTGTGTATACTACATTTTTTCTTGTGTGACTCTCTATTTACTGTTTATTTATTTATTTTTATTTTTTTTTTTTTTTGAGACGGAGTTTCACTCTCGTTACCCAGGCTAGAGTGCAATGGCGCGATCTCGGCTCACTGCAACCTCCGCTTCCTGGGTTCAGGCAGTTCTCCTGCCTCAGCCTCCTGAGTAGCTGGGATTACATGTACCACCATGCCCAGCTAATTTTTTGTATTTTTAGTAGAGACGGGGTTTCACCATGTTGACCAGGATGGTCTCGATCTCTTGACCTCGTGATCCACCCACCTCAGCCTCCCAAAGTGGTGGGATTACAGGCTTGAGCCACCGCGCCTGGCCTATTCACTGTTTAAAGCTGTTTTGATTAAAGTTGTGTTGATTGTAAAATGTATTTGAAGAGCCTCACAATTGGAGCAAAGTTGCTTTAAATACTCTTTCTGTTGAACAAAAGTCATAAGGAAGTCAGTCAATGTGTTTTTCATTTGCTATGTTATGGTTCAAGCAGTTTTCTCTGATTGTTACTAAAGTCTCTTTCCAATAATCTATTGAATCTCCTCTGTGTTTACTAAATATTACTTTTATTTTCTTATTTTTTTTTTTTTTTTTTGAGTGGGAAGTCTATCACCCAGGCTGGAGTGCAATGGCTAACAGGCATGAGCCACCTCGCCCAGCCTTTTTTAGTTTTTTTGTTTTTTTTTTAGATTTTTATTTGAGATGGAGTCTCACTCTGTCGCCCAGGCTGGAGTGCAGTGGCATGATCTCGGCTCACTGCAACCTCCACCTCCTGGTAAATATTTTTGCAAAGCTACAGAAATATTCTGTCGAGAACAAATGCTGTCATATGTATTTTTGTGTGTGTGAGAGAGGGGTAGCTTTAACTTTTTTTTTTTTTTTGTCTGTGTTGAAGGTGAAGGGAGAGCTCATGGCATGTTTGACCTGACAAGTGGGGACTGAGCCCCGTCTACCCACTCCATCCCTACCACAGACCCTGGCGGAGACAGGAACCTTCCCAACCAGTACTCCCAAGGAGAGCAGCCATAATTTGGTCCTTGCTGGACTTGGGCATTCCTGCGTTAGGAAGACGGTAAAACCTAATCCCACGTCTTCTCACCCCAAGGTGCTATGATCTGGTCTTTGCTGGCCATTATGACAAGTGACCGTGGCCTGGTCATTTACTTATTTAGGCCTCAGTTTCCTTGTCTGTAAAAGTAGCATGTTTGTTCATGCTATCTCAGAGATGTAAAAGCAGAAGCCATGGAAAGACAGCAGAGGCCAGGCGAAGGCTCACAAAGGCGCTGGGTGCGGGTGGCTTCGCTTCTTCCATTAGGTCTTCTTCCCGAAGGAACTTTCCAGAGTGCCTGTAATTAGCTCAGTGGGAGAGCAGAACTGCAGTAAACCCCGCTGGAACGGGAAGCGGGTGGAAGGTCCGGCGCCCGACGCAGCCGCAGCTGTGCTGTGCTCGGCCTGGGCTTCGCCCCTCCAGGCAGCTGGGGACTGTTGTGAGTTTTGCATGGTTCACAGAATAAAGTGCAAACGGGGTCCTGTCGTTTTTTATTACTCAGGGCCGCTTTCACTAAGCTGGAAAGCTTGTCTCTTGGTCGATGAAAAGTCTTTGTACCTTGGACCCCAGAGTCTGGGCTTCCCCTCACTAACCAGCTGTGTGACCTGGGGCACATCAACCTCTGGGCCTCTCTTAATGGTTATATGATTCACTGTCACCTGAGGCCAAGTTGAAAAATAGTCTAGACCCCTAAGCACCACCCTTTGTCTCCAGAATCATCCTCGGACCACCCACCGGCATCTGCCCTGGGGGGTTTAAATGCACCTCCCAGGCTCCGGCCTCTTACCGGCCGGGTCACACTGCCCGGGGCAAGTCTCTGTGGCTCCTTACAATAGGGAGAGCAAATCCCTGCCACACCTCTGTGAAGCCCAGGACCAACCCCTTTCTGCAACCTCAGAGAGCGCCCTCCGTGTTTAATTATCAGTCACAACAACCTGAAACAGACTCTCAGCGTCTTCCCCCTACACCGTGCTCCAACAGAAATAAAACAAGAAGAGGCTCACGCCTGACATCCCAGCACTTTGGGAGGCTGAGGCAGGTGGATCACCTGAGGCCAGGAGTTCAAGACCAGCCTGGTCAACATGGCAAGACCCTGTCTCTACAAAAAAACACAAAAATTATCTGGGAATGGTGATGCGTGCCTGTAATCCCAGCCACTTGGGAGGCCGACGCATGAGAATCACTTGAACCTGGGAGGCAGAGGTTGCAGTGAGTTGAGATCTTGCTACGGCACTCCAGCCTGAGCAACAGAGAGACCCTGTTTTTTTTTTTAAAAAAAAAAAAAAGGAAAGAAAAGAAAAAGAGAATTGTACTTACGTTCAGCTGCAATTTACTCAGCAGAGTGATTAATCAATTATTCCATTCACTGAACTATTCAAAAGCATTTGTGAGTGTTTACCATATGCCCCTGTATTGTTGGAGGGTCTGAACAGTGAGAGCCAGGAGGCTTGTGAGGAAAGCGATCTGGACTGATGACAGAGACACATTTGCAAGTCGGCCTGGAGCCAACCTGGGGACTGGGGCCTGCCTGAGCACCCAGCCTCTCACCCCGAACACCGTAATTTTTTTTTTTTTTTTTTGAGACGGAGTTTCGCTCTTGTTACCCAGGCTGGAGTGCAATGGCGCGATCTCGGCTCACCGCAACCTCCGCCTCCTGGGTTCAGGCAATTCTCCTGCCTCAGCCTCCTGAGTAGCTGGGATTACAGGCACGCGCCACCATGCCCAGCTGATTTTTTGTATTTTTAGTAGAGACGGGGTTTCACCATGTTGACCAGGATGGCCTCGATCTCTTGACCTCGTGATCCACCCGCCTCGGCCTCCCAAAGTGCTGGGATTACAGGCTTGAGCCACTGCACCCAGCCCCCGTAATTTTTTTTTTTTTTTTTTTGAGATGGAGTCTCACTCTGTCGCCCAGGCTGGAGTGCAG